CCTAGTCCTGAATCCTACTCTGAATGTTTTTGGTATTGTGATATTTTAGTACTTTGCTAACTTGTTCGTTGTATTGATTGCTATAAATTAGTATCAGCAGAACTGTAAATACATGCCTGATATAATTTGATCAAAACATTTTAAGATTATTAGAATAAATCTGTTGTCACATCATAATGCTGATTTGGTCTCTTTCCTTATTTGACCCAAGTGGAAAAATGAGGAAAAAGCTGAATTGCTTTTAGTGTTCTGTTATATGACCTTTCACATAGCTGAAAAGATTTTTATATCACCATATTAGTAACTTTAGAATGTTTCAGTACATTATGGAAATGGGCAATAGCTTCAGAAAAGCTATTGTGGGAATTCTAAATTTTATATGGACTTGTTTAAAGAATCAAAACAAATTTGACTATTAGGTCTGATGTTTTAAAAACTTATGTCAGCATTAATTTAGAAACCCACCCATCTTTGTAAAGGGTCAGATGGTCAATATTTTTGGCCACTTGTCTCTAATTACTCTGCTCTGTAGGTATAACAGAAAAGAACCAAAGATGATATGTAAAGAATTAGCATGGCAATATTCCAATAACTTTATATACAGAAACAGTGATGGGTTGGATTTGTCCCTGGCCCAGATGAGTAATCTAAACTCTGGCCGTACATTGGAATTGCTTGGAAAGCTTTTCAGAGATATCCTTGCTGGACCTTACTTTAAAACAATTTGAGATTCTAATATAGACAGATCTAATAATGTGCCTAGATAATAACTGACCTATAACTAGTAAATGAGCATAGATTAAATCCAATACATCCATGGATTAAATTTCTACCTACTGCCTACTTAACATTACTGTATAGATTTCGCCCAAAACCTTGTTAATCATTTATGCTCTTTGTTTCAACTGTTATTTTAGCTTCTCTCTCATAAAATTTGAGAATAGACGAGAATTGTGGATGAGAAGAAATGGGTTTAACTGAATTCTATATTTTATATTAGACATTGAATTATACATAAATATGCTTTTACAAATGTCCCCTTTCTTGGGTATATAGATATAATATCATAGCTATAAAAATAAATACTCAGGTAAATCAAGGTCTCTCTTTGGCTGTTTCCACTTCTGATTATTTTATTCTCGTTTCCTCTCTCATCTTTTTTTTTCATGACTTTTCTATTATCTTTATCCAAATCTGTTCCTTTAACTCTGATCTTACTTGGGATCCAAACTCCAGTTTTTATTTGTCTGCTTTCTAGTTTTCTCTGTGTAGCCTGCGGCTCTTCAAACTCTGTGTGCTTGAAAACCCACCTTTCCAAGTAAAACCAAACCAGTACTGGATCAAACAGTACTGAATTGTCACTCTTCCTCTTAAAGGTGTCCTCATTTTATGGGCACCCTCATAGTATTACTTAAAAAATTGCTCATAGTATGATCTGTGGGACACAAGGCCAATTTAAGATCTTCTAGATTGTGAAACAGAAAGCTTTGTAGGGAATTGGAGGAGCTATTCTATGCTGATATGTTCTAAAACATATTCACTACTTATGCCAGGCATGCATGTGATCTGTTTATATACAAATAATCAAAACACCCATGCATATAAAATGAAAAAAATTTAAAAAATAAAATGAAAAAACTTCAAAGATGCTATGGAGACTGTAGGATGTATACTAGAGGATCTTTGGAACCATGTGAGTTGATTTGTTCCTTTTCTCTAGCTGGAGTCTCCCCTGTTAGATGGTTACCTTATTTTTAGGTAAAATTGCCAAACTTATATTATTATTTAAATCCAAGGAATCATAACCTATGGCTTTTGATTTAAATTTTTAGCTGCAATCTGTTCTGTGTACCTATAAAGTAAATGCCATGTAACTAGAACCCAGGATAGGGTTACTTGTTCTCCAAAGGTCATGTACCTACTGAAGTTGCTGAGTCAGTGTTCTTGTAGCTCAGTATGTTTATAACAGCCTTGTTTCCATTTATTTCTGCAGAGCGTAGTGAAGTTAATGAGGGGACTGCTGCACTGCATGATCAGACAGGTACGGCAATGGTAACAACGCCTAACAGGACAGTATCCTAACAGCTTCCCAATAATGCCTATAGCCTTTTTTCAGATTCACAAATAGTGTACTCTAATTTTAGAAAGTTTGGAACTCTCAGGTGGGGATGTCACAGAGACTTACCACCCTATTACAATGGGAATATTCCCTTCCAGGATTTTTCCTCCTTTTACAAATAAATTTTAAGGACCGTTTAAACTCTTAGGTCCAGATCAGTTCTAGTAATAAATTTCTAGATTTTTAAAAGATAGCAAAGTACATGTATCATATAATTTCTCATATCTTCGGTGGAAAGAGAAAAATACTCTACAGTATAAAAACATTTCTTGATAGGTAGTCATTCCTTTTACAGTAAATGGAATAAAACCTATACATAACCCTATATTGATTTGAATTTAGTGTTTCCACCAGATGAGTTTTGATGTAACATGTAGTTAGAAAAAAAATCAAAATATTTTCAATTTTATGATTGGGGACAAAGGATCTTGAACTTGAAGTAATTGGCATTCCCTGACATTTAGTGTAGCTGAATATTCTTTTGTATATGAATTGGAAATCTGCAGTCCTTTACTGGTGAATTACCTGCTAGAGCTTTACCTCCTTTTGTTTGCAGCTTATTGGTTTTTCACCTACTGAGTTCTTTTACATTACGGATATTAATCATTTGTCACATACATTGCAAATATTTTTACAGTTATGTTTTGAGTTTATGACATTTTCTCCACACAAACATATTTTAATAAGAAACCTTTATTCTAGGATCTTAAACATGTGCATATTTAATTTGACTTAACTTTGTGAAAGTAGAAAGAAATCAACGCTCAACTTCTAAACTTATCTACAAATGACTTTTCAATATATATACATTTGGACAGTGCTCCAATGTGGGTCTCTGTCTCTATCTCCATCCATCGCCAGATGAAGGTTCTATGGTGATATGCAAGATATTCATGGACTGACTTTGTGGGAGCCTGGTTTGTTTGGATGCTCACCTTTATAGACCTGGATGGAGTAGGGAGGACCTTGGACTTCCCACGGGGCAGGGAACCCTGACTGCTCTTAGGACTAGAGAGGGAAGGGGGATGGGGGAGGGGGAGGGGAAAGGGAGGCGGGGAGGAGGTGGAAATTTTTAATTAATAAATAAATAATTTTTTAAAAAAGAAGTAATAGGAAAAAGAACTCAGAGGTTTATTTCAAACAGCCAAAGCATTTTGGATTCAGTTGAGAGACAAAGCCAGAGTTTGAATTAAAATCAGCATAGACTATTCCCCCTTGACCTAATGGTCAGAGCCCTGGCTGGCTATGGCTCTGAGAACTGACAGTGATCATCAATTTACTGCTAGCCTTGGGCCAGAACAGACCACGTTGGCAGGTGTCATGAATAAAATGGATATTAGCATCAGGGCAGCAGGGTCTGAAATCTTCCTAGCCTGGCCTTCCTCAGGCTCTTGCTTTTGTTTGTTGGTTTTTGTTTTGTTTTGTATTCTTTTATGTCATGAATCTCTTTAGCAACTGGAAGAGCCTATGGACAATATCTTAGTATAAAGTTTTTAATGTGTAAATATATAAGATTATAATATATATATTTTATATATATTAATTGTTGTATATATCTCTTCACTAGTTTGTTCACATATATCATTTTTCTCTCTGTCTTTTCTGCTTCATTTCTATTTCAGCTGTGTATACTTTCTATCTTATTAAGTAGGTATACTCACAAATTTCATTAACATATTTAAGATGTCCTGGTTATTATACATCAGAGGCATAAATAATCATAACTACATTTCAGGAATTAGGTCAGGAACTATTACTTTTTACCCAAAGTTTCCTGTCTGGACTCTTGCGCACCCCTACCCCACCCCTGCTCGCTTGCTCGCTCATAAGGCTCCCCCTGCCCCGTGTGTTTGTGTGTGTGTGTGTGTGTGTGTGTGTGTGTGTGTGTGTGTGTGTTAAAAATTGAACCCGGGACCTTATGCATCCTCAGAACACATTATCACTAAACTTATACCCCAGCTCCCAATGGTTCTCTTCTAATTTGTTATTTCAGCTTTCTATGATACTATTTCTCTGAGACTCTGTATGGTTCTCATTAACTTTTCTCATGGCATCTTCAAAATTTAGAGAGATAGTTCAGTGGTTAAGAGCACATATTGCTCTTGCAGAGGACCTGAGTTTGGTTCCCAACATCTTTGTTGGGTGGCTCACAACTGCCTGTATTTTCAGCTCCAAGGAATCTCATGCCCTCTTCTGGCCTTTGAGGGTATCCACACTTACAAACTACCATGTACACACATAAAATAAAAATATCCTCTTTTAATGTATCTGTAGATTTCTACTTTAATTTCAGGAACAAATGCCTAACACTGGGTTATCTTACTAGAGTGTTAATATATTTGAACTTCCAGTTTCTCTACAATATGACAAAGCAACCATTTGAAAAGCATAGAAGAGAGGCAATGAACAGGAAATAGCTGTTTTGACCATTTGTTGTTTTTTATTAAAAGTAACACACTTCCTTAGTGTAGCGGAAAACAGATAAGTATGTATTTTAAGTATTCACTCAGGGTTAGGCTTAGGGAAGGTGGAATGAAGTGGTATATGCCATAGCACTACAGATACATAGCATATGGGTGACTTTCTAACTGTCCTTCTTACGCTGTTTTCTCTTCAGGTGGATAAAGTAGAGTCCTTCAAGTATAGTCAGAGTACTAAGGATAGCCTCCATGCCAAGTACAACACCAAAACTTGTGCCACTGTAGTGGGTGATGACCAGTGGGGACACCTGCAGTTGGATGCTACTTCTGTGTACCTGCTCTTTCTAGCACAAATGACTGCCTCAGGTCAGTACACGGAGAGAATTACTGCATGCCCCTGGGCTTGGAGCATCTGCTCTGCTTCTCTTGGCTTCTCTGGAGGTATTGGCCAGAAAATAAAATATCTCTTTATAGTACTCAAATAAGTACCTTATAAATATTGGGATTTTGTGAGTTTTATACAGCTAGATATAAAGTTTTTGAGGTCTAGGCAATATATTATTGTATTGAAAAACAAATTTGCAGTACTAATTAATACTCTTTCAAAACAGACACCTGAAATTCTTGACTAGATCTTTAGACAGGCATTTTTATTATTTATTAATTCTCAGACGCCAGGATACAGGTGGGAGGATTGAAGGTTTTTTCTTATTTTCAAACTATACAGTAATATGCCTGTGATTAGTGTAGCTATAGAAACATCACTTTATATACTCCTTGTGAGTATGATCTGGATCTAAATGTATATGTTTTGTTAAACTATATTCTATGTAAATAGTTTGTGATTAAATTTTGATGCTTGATATGTAGAAGAAAATTATAAGTAATATAGTAGCTCACATTTGTCTATAATTCTAACACTTAGGAGGCAGATAAGTTCCAGGCCAGCCCTGGTCTATATAACAACTTCTAGGCCAGTCAAAGCTATATAGTGAGATACTGTCTCAAAACAAACAAACAAACAATATAGTTTCCTTTATAGATGTAAAACTAAAAATGGAAGTAATCCTATTATATCCAGTTTCTAAACTTAATAAGAACATTTCCAGACCATTCTGAATAAGTTAATATATTCACAGTACCATTTTTTTTACTGTGGTGCTGGGGTTTCGACACAGGGACTCACACGTGCTAGGCAAGCACTATGCCACTAAGCTAAAATCCTAGCTTTTAAATCTTTTTTTTTGAGAGAAAGGGTTTCACTAAATTGCCCAGTCTAGATTCAAATTTATAATCTTCCCTTATCAGCATCTCAATTAGATGAGATTATAGGTGTATTCCATCATATGGAGCTAGTACCATACTTGTGTGTGTGTCTGTAGTGTATGTGTTCATATGTGGCTAGAAGTGCATGTTTATGGGTCTGCCTGTGTGTGTGTAGGTCAGAAGTTGATATCAGGCATCTTCTACCATTGCTTTTCATTTTATCTTTTGAAACAGGGTCTCTTACTGAACCCAAAGCGAGACTGAATAACCAGTGAGCACTGGGACTCTGCCTCCCTCTCACCTTCCCCAAAGCTAGAGTTACAGATGTACATGACATTCCCAGCTTTTATGTGGTTGCTGGAGATCACGATTCAAATCTTCATCATTGAAAGTGGATACTTTTACAGCTGAGCCTTTTGCTTAGTCCTGAATGCTGTATTTTTGATATTTCAATTTCCTTGTCTTCCTGTTTGACCAGTTCCTTGGTACTAAAGGCACCCAAAGTGTGAATCCCCTCAGAATATTTTTCTCTCTTTCTTTTCAAATAAACGTTTGGTGATAAACTCTTTAATTTTTTCTTCTAGAACACATGGCCTGGAGTCTGAATAACCTTTCTGCAAAACTATAAATTAACTATCTAATTAGTCTTCTTTCAGATGAGAAATTTCTTCCAGAGTAAATATAATTTTGTTCTATTTCTTTATAGAATGGTAGTTATAATTTCATTTTGAATAATATTTGAATGCCAACTCTGGAAGCTGTTTATTTTATTGTTTCAGTATTTTTTAGGTTTTGTGGGATTTTTTTTGAGACAGAGTTTCTCTGTGTCGCCCTGGCTGTACTGGAATTTGCTCTGTAGACCCAGCTGACCTCAAACTCAGAGATCCACTTGCCTCTGCCTCCTGAGTGCTGGTATTAAAGATGTCCTCCATTACTATCTAGCTTAAAAAAAAAACAGGCACTAAATATTCCTGGTGGTTTTAAATGTGATTCCCCCAGATAGAAAGAGAGGTACATTAAAAAGCTTCATGAGATATATTCATTAAACAAATGTTTATTGACTCTTAACTTAATTTTCAATTCAATTAGCTGATCTTGATAGGTGTTTGTAATAAAGTGGATATTATTTGATTAAGTGTTTGAGAAATAAGTTTGAATAAATCAAAATTTACATTTCAAAAGGGGAAGAGACTAATAAGTATATGGTACAGAAGTTTGAAAGATACTTGTCATCAA